ACACAATCACAACTACACCCACAGGGAGGCACATTAGATTTACAGCTTACATTTGTGTCATGGTGATATAACAGTAAACCTGAACCAGCCTATTGGGACAGGCTGTCTCCCTGAGCGATGATTGTTGCCCCGGTGACGTAACAGAGGTCAGAGGAGACGTGCACGTAACTGTGCTGCTGATGGAGGGTCATGCAGGTTTGTTTAAATGAGTGTTTATTCACTCTTACTCATTGCACATTGAACACAACGTGTATACTTACTGTATAAATGAAGTAGAGCAAGCTAGTTGTTACCATAGACTGTAAATATTGATGGACAAAGCCTGAGTGGCGTCAGCCGTCTGTTACTGCAGGGGGCTCCGGAGGCTCAGCGGCGGCTAACCTAATGACAGGCTGAGAGCTGGAGCTGACTGTTTTAGGCCTCTTGACAAACCGTTACATCCCGCCGACCTGTCAATCATGTCAGCTACGCGCCTAACTATGGATAACACATCGTTCATAAAATCAAAATGGAGACGTTTAAAAAAATAATAATACAGCTCTCAGGAAAAGGAATGCTTTGATGTAAATCAGCTTGGCAAGAACGAACTATAATGTCTGAAACCATTTTTGAGAAATCTTTGTTTGACATGTTTTTCTGGTTTGATCCATGTCCCATCTGTTAACATGCAGGATTCAGATCTTATGACCCGTACTATAACCAGTCAGCAGAGAGAGCTCTAAATGTTTTGGCTTCACTTTCATATCATCCATTGTTCATTGGGATGCCTTTAAACAACAAACCCCACCCACAGACATTCTCCTTTTTTATATGAACAGAAAACAAGATTACAGTTAAACCAGCAGTCTGCACTTTGGAGCAGGCTTAACTTCAGCTAGCCTCAAGTGGACATGTGAGGAACTGCAGCTTTTTGCTCTTCTGTGTCACCTTTTTTTTTTACACACTGTGGAGGTAAAGTGAAACAGTAAAATGGCAACTGCGGTTTATAATTATTTTTCAAAGTGGTCACAGTGTGTGCTTCTACTCAAAGGATGAGTATTGGATGGAGTAGTAGTAAACATGGTAAAAATACAGTTTATCAATCTGCAGTCTACAGTGAAAATGTCTGAACAGCTGGAAATGGTTGCTAGTTAATTATTGATAATGTGCGTTGTGAAGTGTGTTCATGTACTTAGCCTATATATGAACTCCTTCTGTGTATTGTTCACTGTACTCGTTTCATTTTTAATTCTCCCTCATTGTTCGATGCATTGACCTGAATCTGTTTGCTGCTTGACAACGGCGTGTCTTCTGAGCATTCACTGAAACGATGTTTGCTCTCTGCTGCTCGGTTTGTAACAAACAGACGCTGTGTTGATGCTTGTGGACAGTTAAGAGCCGTCGTCGCTGCTTTTGTCATTTCTTCTCAGTCTGCTGTTTTCATATTTTAGAGTGGCTGCTGTGAAATTCATGAGGAAACATCTTGCTATCGGCTCTTCTGTAAACACCTACAGTAGACTGTAATCACTGCAAATAACAGATTTGTTTACTGAGAAATAGAGCATGACTCATCAAGTAATGTATTTAAAAGGTTGCCTTGGTGAGAGATTGCAGCATTTACCAAACAAAACATATGCACTGGAGATCGTATTGGTGCAGTATAGAGTGAGGTGCAGAGACAAAGGCCCCCTCAGGACTGAACAGGGTCATGTAAGGTGCTGATTTAGGTCATGGTGCTCTCTTAAAGAACCTCAAATAAAAAAATTTCCCTTTCACCGTCAGATGGTCCATGCAGTATTAAACCCAAAAGGGAAACTGTTGGTTTTAAGGGATCACTGGGAGATGAGAGAGACTGGAGAAGTAAAAACACTCAGATCTCAGTTCAATGAGGAGAGATCAATCAGAAAATAATATTTATTAGATTGGCAACTAAGAAAGAGAGACTTTGAGCATCTTCTTTATATTCAATCAATCAATCAATCATTATTTGTGTAGTGCCAATTCATAAAAACTGTTATCTCAAGATGTATTACAAAGAGCATATGGAATAATATTGAAGACAAAATAGAAGTGTAGACGTTTCTAGATGATTTAATATAAAACTGTCTGTAAAGATTTAATGCCCATGCAAAATTTGAAATTGAACCTGTACAAAATTGAAATAAAACATGTACAAAAATGTAAATCAAAAGCAAACAATATTAATGTTTAACCTGTCAAAAAACTTAAATGTATCTCGTACAGAAACTTAAACTTACCTTACCGTACGTAAGATTAAAGTTATACAAAAACAATAATAAATTTGTACAAAAATGTAAATTAAACCAATAGAAAAATTAAGATTAAAATGTTACCCATCCTTAAATTAAAGTTACAGCTGCACAAAAATGACAACTACTGTATATCCATAAAAAGAAAATCAGGATTAACCCCCTTTAAAGTTTGAAATTAAATCTGGAGATAGTTGGACCAATGCTATGAAGCTGCACAGAAGTGTTTTGTCAGAGCATTGTCTGTATTAAAGTTGTGGAAACTTGAACATGATGAGCAGATAAAAAAAATCAGTGTTATCTTAAGGGTGTTATTGTGCTGACGCTTCAGAAAGTTAAAGTGTCTGAGAGAAAGAAATCAGAAATCAAAAGCAATCTCAATGAATCATTCAATAAAGCAGCTTGTACAAAAAAAACATAAACACAGACACAGTGATGTACAGACAACAAATTAAACTTAAGAGCTAAAATCATCATATGTGCTATTTAAAGAGTCATTTTCTTGTCAGTTTTGTGTTGAACCTCAACAGCAGATCTGTAAAACTAATTAAAGGATCTGTATCTGTCTAAAATGTATACCTGTCCTGGCCAAGACAAGCAGCAGCACATCTGTTAGAGACATAAAACACAAACATAGATCAACCAATCCTGAGTCACAGGAGAAATCATCAAAGCACCTAAAGCCTGATGCATATTCCTCCAATGCCTTCAATCTCATTTTAAAAAGATTTAAAGAGACAAGCAACCACAGACTCAAATCCTCCTGCAGCAGATTCCAATATTTTAACCAAATTAGACGTTTCTAAAAGTGGAGAAATACCTCGTTCACTGTGACTGCTGAACTGAGTATTGGCATGGTCATGCTGCACATCTGAGGTTCAGGCCTTTTACTATGAGGAGTCCATCTGCTGAGACCGTTCAGCTGCCGGCCATCACTCAGCCTCTGATGCGTATCAGCTACAAATGTCTGCACAAAGACAAAGTCAAAAGTCAAAACAAAGCTAATGGTTCAAGTTTACTTCTGTGTCTTACTTGCTGAGGAAGACTAAAGAATACCAACCTTTCCTGACGAAGCGTCAAATGTCAATTGTCAAGTTAAAGTAAACCAGAGGAAAGAGAAAAGCAGTTTAAGATGTGCACGACCATTGACTGTATAAAGGTGAACAACGCATCGCCACTTTCCACAAGTGAAGCCAAAAAAACCTGTAACGAACACTGACATATTGCGCTGGTAGATAATTTGAGCCAGAGACGGTGCAGTAGAGATCAGCTGGTGGAGCATATACCGCCTCTTCTGTTTGACAACAACACAAAGTGGACTCATTGATAGAAACGTCAAAGATCTCTCAGGTCGGAACAATCCACATGCAGACCAGTTTGAAGCAGACACTTTGGGTTATGGAGGGTTGAAGGACTCTTGTGTTAGGGGTTGTTATGTATCCTTTACTGTTCCTCTTCTTCTTTGCTAATCCTGTGCACACATTACCACAGGAGCCGCATCTGTCAAAAGAGCTGTCGATCATGACGTTACATCTGTTGTTTTTTTTTTTCATATTAAATAACTACTCAGAAAAATAAACCCTTGCACATGAGCATGACAATAACAAACTTTTACTAACTCAAAATGTCGTGGCTTCACTTTTGGTGAGATGTCTTGACGTCCATCTTTTTATACATTCTCTGTGTTCGACCAATTAGAGACTTTGTGAAAAGGCAAGTTTATTTACACGGCAGAGTTCAACGATAAGGCATCAAAAGCGCAGGAAAGACAAACATTACAAGACTACAAGACGTGAAAGATAAGAATTAAAAAAGCTAAATGTTGCCTTGTCTCATTGAGTCTACATCATATTCAGAAATAAGTGTTGATTGACAGTTTTACGTACTGTTTTTAATGACAAGATGAGGCCAAAAACAGCTGTGCCTCTTTGTGTAATTTTGTGTGTGTGTGTGTGTGTGTTTATGATGATTACGTTTATGTGTGTCTCCAGTGGTAAATAAATCACAACAAGGGCAAACAGACCTTTTTCTCCTGAATCAATCAGTCCTGCTTAACTGAGCACAGAATCCACCTCTGTCAGCAGTTATTAACCCCCCCCCCCCACACACACACACACACACACACACACACACACACACACACACACACACACACAAATGTACGTGCACACAAACAAAACACCTGAGGACATGTGAGATTCACATAATACCACCAAATGTCTATCTTTCAGTAGGTCAGGAGGATTACAGTTCAGATGGGATAAATACCATCCAGCATCCATGAACACAATATTTGATGTGTAAATGTGACATTGTTGTTTCGTGTTCAGAGACACAGACTTCTCGGGAACCCCGGAGCATGTCTGGGTCTGTATGTGATCAGTACTTATTGACCGAGCAGCAGGTAATAAATGCAGAGTGATTATTGATCTCTGTGTCTTCACTGTGTTCATGAACTGAATATTTACTGGCATGTTCACTGCAGCTCAATCCGACCACAGCATTATATTGTCACCAGGAGACCTCAAGATGCTGACACATATTTTCCATTGACATGTTCTTCTGCGATGAAACCACACGTGCAGCACAAGAGTACACCACCCAGGAGGCGGAGGGAGGGGGGGGGGGTGTTTGCTGTGATTACGGTGAAGCAGATGGTATCACATGCAGCTGGGATGTTAATGGATACTAACGTTAAATGCAAAATATCTTCATGAATTTACATGTTTATTTGTTTTTATGTCTTACCAGAGGGACACCAAAGGTCAGTTCCTGTTGGATCATGTGTGCAACCACTACAACCTGCTTGAGAAAGACTACTTCGGTATTCGATACGTGGACCCCGAGAAACAGAGGGTAACTATCACGCGTCTTTAATTTGATTAATGGATACGTATTTTAAAGGTATAATATTCGACTTCCAGAGGAGATGTCCGGTAGATGTCGCACTTTAGCACCAGTCTTCCAGACCGTGCAGGCGGATCTGGGAGTTTAGGTCAGGACGAGGTTTTGGTCACCAACACTTGGTCACGATACCTCAGTGGAAAAGTCATAAAGCACTCAAGGAAATCAGATCATTTCATCATTAAAAAAAAATAAAAAATACTATCCCCATGGCGATGTCATCTATCTTATGCCGCCCTTACACTAGAACACTTAGAAAAAACTTTAGAAAATGTGTTTTTAAAGACTAACCTCTGACACCCTCTAACGTCTAAAGACAATGTTTCAGCAAATCCCAGAGATTTGAGTCACAGACTAAGATTTTACGAAGACTGGGGACCTCACAGGATTACTTTTGAGTTTATTTCCCATCATACACCTGGTGACATTTTAGAACTACAACTTTTGAGCAGGAAAAAGAAGAGGAGCAGAAAGTGCTGGCGTTGCAGAGAGAGCAAGAACGCCTCTTTGACGAGTCCTCCCCTTTGTGCCACGATAGAGCGGAGGAGGAGGGAAAGGGCGGACAGAAATTGTGGCAGCCCTCTAAATCGGGGATCTTGAGGGATGAAATCCCCGGTGAGGATTTGGAATATGCACTCAATCATTATTCCCTGGATTTCGAGGTTAATCTGTTTGGCGCTGGTGAGACCGCTCTTATTAGTTGTTGACCATGTCACATCATTGAAGAACACAATTCCCATTAGACAAGACTAAAGACCTGTGATAATGTTAAACATGTTTGATTTTATCTTAACGCCAAGAAGGGAAAAGGACTGAATTAAAACACTGAGCACTTTAAAGAGTCATATGTCTGCAGAAAAACAAAAATGCAGGAACTGTTGATCAAACTTGACAGGAAACGCCTCCACTGAGTCACCATGGCAAAATTAAGATTGTTGGAAATTAATCAGATGGCAGTCGGTACTTTAGCAGGATCAAGTGACAAGTAATTACAAGATCAGGCTGCATATTTAAAACATCCCACACATGGAGGAGAGCAGACTCTTTGTGTGAAAAGAAGCTCAGCCAGCAGCCAACTTCTTTTAAAATGAAAAAAAAAACAAAACAAATACAACAAGAAGTGTTACAGAACAAAAGGCAGAGTACAGTAGAGTGCGGTGAATAAAACTTTTCGGTGGCTTTTTCACCCTTCAGCCATATTCCAAACAAAGATATTCAGCCTTAGAAATACAGCTGTGCAAAGCTGTAGCTGCTCTTGGGGCAATGCAACCTGGTACATGTAGGCCTGCTGACGAAGCTGCAGGAGAACTCTGTCCATCAACTTCATGTGCGCTGTGCATGTCGAGCTTAACTTGATATAATTTACAACCAAAAATTAATCAAAATCCACATAAGATGTATTTGATTGGACAAACTTGTTGGAGCTCTTTTTTACAATTTATTTTGGAGTTTTTTGGATCGAGTAGAGGAGGTAGTAGTGGGGAATGACATGCAGGAAAGGCGCCACAGGTCGGACCTGAACCTGGTCCACCCACTGGAAGGACTACTGCCTCCGCACATGGGGCCCGACCTAACTCCTGGGCCATCAGTAAACCCAAACATATACTGCTTTAAACCAAGTTTGTATCCCTATTTTATATCTTTATCTTCTCTCGCTCTCTCTCTCTCTCTCTCTCTCTCTCCCTCTCTCTCTCTCTCTCTCTCCGTCAGCACTGGCTGGAGCCCAATAAACCCGTGGTGAGACAGATGAAGTGTAAGTGTCTCTTCTGCTCTTTTTGTCTTTTGCATCACATATACAAAAATCAACAATCAGACTTTGAAATGCAAGCGTGTGTTTATGTGTGTGTGTACCGGTGGTTGCACATTGTGTGTGTGTGTGTGTGTGTGTGTGTGTGTGTATGTGTGGTATGTTCTTGCATGCGTGCCTGAGTTAGCCTCCTGAGAGCAGCTTCAGTGTGACGGGGTCAAACTCTACAAGGAGCAGACAGCACCACAGGGACTCAGATGCACACGGGGTCATGCCCGCACATAAACAACCGTCTCACAAGCCACTAGACATTCAAAAGAATACAACACAAAGACTATTTAAAGTCATACACAAAAAAGGCTTCTGCTGTCCATAATGAACTGATGCCATCCAGGGAATTGACCCTAAAAGTAGCATTGCCCCAGGCCACGCTGCTTGTATTACCATTTTCACGGAATAGTGACAGATCCAGACGATGTTGGACAGGTCTTTTTCTCAGAAACACCGCAGGGAGACAAGCAGAGACACAATAAAGCCCGACAAAGTGACAAGAGCGGGAACACAAGAAAGCGCCGCAAGGGAACGAGTGGCCCAACAAGGAAATAAACTCACAAACAAACTCAAGTACACAGACACGGCGGCAGGGAATCACAAACACAAGACGGAAAACTCAAATGTTAAACAAGTCAGCAGGCTTCATGTTTATTGTTGAAAGTCACCTGAGGTTTTCTTCAGTGACGTTGTGTTATTTTAAGCAAACTGTGGGAGTTGGGCATCTTGGTACACATTTGACATTTTTTTGTCACTTCAGGGGTTGAAAAGAACTCATTGGCCTGATGCACCAGCTACTGTATGTTTGAACTTAAGTTAGGTCATGTTTTGTGGAAACATGGAGACATAAAGTTAATCTTAACTAGTTAAAGAGTTATGTCCAAACTAACAAAATACTCTTCCGGATAAGACCTTTTTACGGTGGCTGATAGGGGTCACACACTCGGCAACTGATGAAATGACAAACATTTAGAAAAACATGCAAACTCCCAAAACAAATGCAACGCCTGAAACGCGCTCCAAAGACAAAAACGCGCTGCAAAAAAAGGCAAAACAACCGCATAAGCATCAAACGCGCTGCAAGTGCAGAAATGAAACTTAAGTCAGAAACACACACACTCATAGAAAACAACAGCAAATACAAAAACGATTTGTTTTGGTAGTTTGCATTTGCTTTTGAATGTGCAGCGTTTCTGAATATGCTGCACGTTTTTTATAAATGTTTGTCGTTTCATCAGTTGCTGAGCGTGTGACCCTTATCGGCCGCCGTACCTTTTCAGCTCCTGCACCAATCAGTGAAAAGCCTTTTTTTTATACAGTCTTCAGTGTTCACTATATTTTTTGGAAAACGTGAATCACAGAGCGACCGCTGAGTGGTTCACTCCAAAATATCGGACATTTTCAGGAGTTTTGGACATGTATGAAAGGGGATAAGATATAAATACACACTCACCTTAGATCACCTTAATACCACCTCATGGATGATGACAAGAATAAAATAAACACAATCAATGAAACCTAATATTGCATCGCACAATCAGCAAAGTTTAAAAAGGTCAGACTTAAATCCCTCCGGAGTGAATTGTGAGATCCACTTAACTTTCTCCAGGCAAATGTTTTCTAGTTTTCCTGGAATAACGGGGGAGTAAAAAGAAACAAGGGAAGATAACTCTGCCGTTGCTTCATAAAAGATTTAAACAGGGAGACAAAATCAGGAAGCAAACAGTTTTACTTTTGCAGTACAATGGCCTTTTTTTCTTTCTCCATATTTTCACATTGTCACCCAATCTAGAAGAATTAGACTATTTTGTTTTAACGGACTGTTTCTAAATCCTGATGTCTTCTATCTGCTGCTTGCTGATGATGCTGAGGCTTTCTGCAGAGTGTCTCAGTGAAGTGTCTATTTTTGTGTGATCAGCTAAAACACGTCTGTGTCTGAAGTTGCACACCCGTTTAATGACTGTCCTGTTCTTTCTCGCTTCTTAAAAAATTAATAAAGGAGCTATTACCGCTTCATCAGAACAGCAGTGCAAGACTGGGTGGGGGGGTGATGGGTAAAAATGAGAGATGGGAGAAGACAGAAGAAGGGAGAGAGACTGATAAAAAGGAAAATGCATGTGTCTGTGAGAGGGAGAGACAGTAATAGAAAATGTAGCTAAAGAAAGAAGTCAGATTAGGGGAGACTAGAGACAGAGAAGAAGAGACAGCTTGAGATGGAAGAGGCTGACACAGAGTGAGAGAGAGAAGAAGAAGAAGAAGAAGAAGTGATGAGAGAGAGGGATGGAGGATAAGTGTTGAACAGATCTGAGTCGTACTGACACATCACTTCTCCCCGTGGCAGGATTTACTCTCAAATGAGGATGTGTGGTTTGTGTTTCATTTTCCCCTTTGTGCGTCTCAGCTTACGCACACACGCGTCACTCTGTGCGAGTGTGTGTGCGTGTGTGTGTGCATTTTGTGCCAATTCACTTTCACTAAAAAAAAAAAAAAAAAAAAACATCTTGGTCCCTTAAGCCGGAGCAAAGAGAAGGAAGCTGAAATTCTTTGGGAGCGGGTGGGAGGATTTGGTCTTTCAGCATGCATTATGTAGATGTGTGCTGTTTTTCATCGCAGGATAATACCGCAGAGGATGCAGTTCTAAAGACCAAGTAGTGAGGGCAATGTGCACATACTTCTGCTTCCATATTAGACCCGCTTTCTTCTTCTACTTCTTCTTCGAAACCCTTTTTCAATTTAGAAAGTCAGCAGAGGATGTAAAATAAATTCCACAAACAGAGTCAGCAGGTGATATCGTATGTTTAATGGTCATGTGAATGATGAGACAGATGACGGTGTGTTGAGATAATGATTATGATGGAAGAGGATGTTGTGTTCTGGGAGGATGGACTGACTGCAGGGCGGAGGGAGACTCAGGATGAGGGGTTTCTGTTTCAGGGGTAACTCTGCACGAGCTGATCACGGCCAAAACTGTGCTTAGAATTAGACAAACAAGACGAAGGAGGAGAGGAAGGAGGAGAGGAAGGGAAGGGAGGGTGGGTCGAAGAACTGACCAAACAGGGTGGAGTGGGATAAGTCGGCTTGTCAGGCGGTTGAAGGTGTGGTTTAGGCGTTGTCCTGCCCCCAGACAGGATCCAAAGGAAGCAGATGGAGCACACAAATCACTTATGGCAAATTTATTTAGGGCTAACGTTTTGACGCACTGTGCCTTCCTCAGAGTCAAACGCTACATTTGTATTTCATTTGTGTTAAACTCAAACACACTTACCAAACCCCCCCAAAACAAGTCAGTTCGACCACGTCCTTTACTGTTCACACAATCTGATTTTTTTTTTTTCAACACTTTATTAACCAAAAAGAATAATAATAATAATATAAAACGTAATGGACCCAGTCTTCATTACCCCATGCTGAAGCGTTGTGTTATTTTTATTCTAATTGTTTCTACTTATGTACTTATTATGGCAAAAATACACCGCTGGAATCCTAGCATGGTACAAAATAAACAACAACAAAATCAAATCAGGAAACACAATGAAAAGTAAAGAAACATGGTGTTCGTCATGACGTAATGAATACATGAGAATGGAGGTTCTTATGTATTTTATATGATTTCTTTACTTATCACAGCTTATATATGTGAATGCATAATGAACGGGCTTATTGCATTTGCCTCTGATGTTTCCTCTAAGTTTTAGCACACTGTGTATGTGTGTGTGTCTCTGTGTGTGTGTGTGTGTGTGTGTCTGTCATCATGCGTGTGTGTTAACATCAAAGGTTTAACTTTCAATGTTTGCATGTGTGTGTGAGATTGTGTGTTTATAACCAGTTCTGGGGTATCTGTGAGACCCCAGGAGGGAGTTTAAGTTATTTCTGGCGTTTGATCCGAGGCCTGTAGCCTGTCATTGAGTCAGTGTGTGTGTGTGTGTGTGTGTGTGTGTGTGTGTGTGTGTGTGTGTGTGTGTGTGTGTGTGTGTGTGTGTGTGTGTGTGTGTGTGTGTGTGTGTGTGTGTGTGTGTGTGTGCACTTACATAAATGTGCTGTGCATGTTACCTTGCAAATTTAAAAACGAGGCCAAGCTTTAATTTCTTTTCGGCAGTCACACACACACACAAGCATGCACGCACACACACACACACACACAAGTATAAAAATTAAATGCTCTAGGAATCAGATCAAAGTGAGGCGTGTGTGTGTGTGTGTGTGTGTGTGTGTGTGTGTGTGTGTGTGTGTGTGTGTGTGTGTGTGTGTGTGTGTGTGTGTGTGTGTGTGTGTGTGTGTGTGTGTGTGTGTGTGTGTGTGTGTGTGTGTGTGTGTGTGTGTGTGTGTATTTTTGATGAATGAGACTGTAATTATCGAATGACTAATCAGTATTAGAAGCCTGCAATGTTCTTTCTTCTTTGTCCCTGACTTCTTTTACATAATCCTCATGACTCTGTTCCTCTCCTCTCCTGGATCACTCATCCATTTCTCTCTCTTTCCCTCTTTTTAACTTTTCTCCATCAAAACATCAACTTTTTTTCTTTCATTTTTCTGTCATATTTACTTACTTCTCTGCTCTCAAACGACTCCATCTCTCCTGACCTCCATCTCTCCCGACCTCCATCTCTCCCGACCTCCATCTCTCCTGACCTCCATCTTCTCTCCTCTAAGGTTTTTTTTCTCTCTTGTCTCCAGCAGCTCAGCAGCCGTACATGATGTGTTTCCGGGTCAAGTTTTATCCTCACGAGCCAATGAAAATCAAGGAGGAGCTAACAAGGTAAAAACTTTAATTCATAAAGGATGGTTTCTGGTTGACCGAGCAAGAAACAATCAGCCTGAAATTTGGCTATTCATATAAAATACATATTGAATTGAACTGAACTGAAAGCCTTTATTGTTATTGTATAACAGGATACAGTGATTAGGGGTGCACTCACACTAAGCAATCCATACCATGTCCAAGCACATTTTACCTCCAAAGTCCAGTTCGTTTGACTTGTGGGTGCTCTGTACACTTCCTTGGCCCTGGCACGGTTGGAAGATGTAGGCTTCGGCACGGTATGGTTGCTCATGCACGAGCACAAGAATGGGTGCGCAACGTGGACATGACGTATAGCTTAATCCAGTGGTTCCCAAACTCGGGTCGGTACCCCCTGGGGGGTCACGAGATTCCTTCCAAAAACATGTAAAAATGGAAAATTGATTAAAATTGCATATTTTAACAACTATTGTGAAAATAAATACAAAAAGTTAGTTTTTCTTACAATAATTTACATTTATTTTTGGGCTTTTTGTGCCTGTATTGGAGAGATAGCGGATAGAGCTGGAAATCAAGGAGAGAGAGAGAGTGGGGAATGACTTGCAGGAAAGAAACCACAGGCCGGATTTGAACCCGGACCACCCGCTTTGATTACTACGGCTTCCATGCATGTGGCGCCCACACTAACCACTGCGCCACCAGCACCCCGTGTGGTCTTCTAATGCCAGGGTTTGAAAAGGCCTAATAGTGTGCGTGGCTGTGCGCAACATTAAATGTTAAATTAATACCGTTCCTCTCAATGACCATTTAAAAATAGTGGAAAAGGGTTCATGTCGTTCTGATGCAGACGTCAGGTGCTTACTCGAAATTTGAGTAGACGTGAATATTCAGAGTCAGCTGGATAAAACCCACATGAACTCTGAGGTCTTTGAGAAAATCTGCAACTATCTAGTAGTACAACGTGATGATGTATGTAAGAGGTAAACATGCTCAATATGGAGCAATTTGAGTGCAGGCTAGTGGGGGACTTGGGGACAATTGTGTTTCGGCACGGTAAGGGGCAACTTGGCCTTTAAGTGGGCACGAAGAGGGCCGCCGCTGGTTGGTGCATAAAAGGTCACACATACGTGTTAAAAATTCACAGAGAAGCACATTACATACAAAGAAAAGCATACATGTAAGAAGCAATCACATTCAACGTGTAAATAAATAACAAGGAGCCGGAGTCAAAGTGCTGGGAGAGTTATAAATAAGTAGCCATGGGCAGATCCAAAGTGCAGAAGTCATAATAAATCACAGTCCATATACTGTAAGTTCTTGCACAGTTCCAGGTAGTTATAGCTGAGTAGAAAAGATGTAGTGAAGGTTTGTATGAGAGAGGAAAACAGCTGTTCATTTTGTATGCTGATTAAGAGTGTGAATGGCCGTGGGGGAAAATGACTGCTCAAGTTACCTGTAGCACTTGTCTGAGGCAGGAGGTCCAGCAGGTGGTTGAGAGCTGTCTTTCAAAATCCCACATAATCCACATGTTTCATGATGTCATTCTGGGAAACCTATAGAAACACCAGCACTGATTTTCAGCTCAACAAAACTCCTGATTCATCCAATACTGGCGTCAGTAAAAGGGCTAGCCTCATTTCAACCTTTGTCTGAAACGGTTTGTTTCCGCCGCTGTCTCTTTAAGGCCCACCTCTCCCCACTTTCTTCTGATTGGTCAGCTGTCTGGAAGCCTTTCAAGGGGCTGAACGCTGCAGGGCTGCCAGGAAAGAAAAGAGCCTAAGTAAGAGGTTTCAAATCAAGGCTTGGAGTGAAATTCTTGGTTTCATATCAGGGGACTATCGTGTGATTTACAGAACAAACTGTTTAGACTACGCCTGGGATTACTCCAACATATGTTTACCTCATTAGCTGAAACTTTTCCCTAGTTCAGTAAAGACATCCAGCGTTGTAACACTTTATGTGACTTTTGAAATGGGAATCAGAATAAAAAAGTCAACGTTAACAATGTATGTGGCTCTGGAGAGGTAGCAGGTGTTTGTAATGTCTTGGAGTGAGGGAAGAGGCCGATGTTTTTGGTGCTCTGTTGATGACGCTCTTTAAGGCTTTTTTTTATGAGCTGCTGACACAGTAAGGCAATATGTCAGTACACTCTTTATTGTGGAGCGGTAAAAGGTCACTAGCAGCCTTTGATCGAGGCTGTTTCGAGAGAGAGAAGACAAAAGGAAAAAACTCGAAAACTCTCCTGTTTTTTCCCCCAACTAGCAATATATTTCTCTTCATCCAGAGAGCCATTGTTTTGCCACGACAACTCTGATCGTATCCCTGTTTCACTTTCACCAAACAGCAGGGATCCACTGGTCTCTTGGGTGAAAGTCTTAATAGTTTGGCATATTTTATCCGCTCCGTCCTCCCTGGGTGTCTTATATATGATTCCTGGGATGATTTGAATGAATGATGAGACACTGAAAGATTATTTTACTTTGAGGAAGATCTAAGTAGTCTATACAACGTCTCTCTATCTCTCTCTCACACACACACACACACACACACACACACACACACACACACACACACACACACACACACACACACAGACGTCCTCTCTGGCTCAGTGATAATTAAGAGACTCTCACTCAGCAGGGACTCTGTTTTTTTCCCGTGTTCTCCGTCCCATCTGAGCTGCTAAGTCTCACCATCTCTGCTCTTCCTTCACAGTCATCATTTCTCCCTCCCCATCCTCCATCCCTTCTTTTCCACATCTCCCTGCTCCGTTTCGCTGTGATTTTTCATCCCTGAGGTGTCACCACCACCCTGCCTTCTGTTGGTCCCTCTTTGTCCTCACAGCTCCTTCTCCTCCCTCAGATGTCTCTCTCAGCTCACATCCGCACATTGTCCCTGTCCTCTCATTTCCTTTATTCCTCATAAATTTGCCATTTCCTCTTTTTAGGCTGCTCTCCTTGCATTGTTTTACACAGTCCTCTTTCAGTGGCTGTTCATTAGCTTGATTTAAAGCAAAAACCAACATGAAGTGCACATGCAAGTGGAGCTGAGGTTGGAGAGTTCAGCAGGACCTTCAGTCAGTGATGAAATCCAGTGGAGCGCTTAATATCATGGGTTTTATTTCCATCTTCAAAATCCAAATCTTATTATGCTAATGTGTGTGAGCTGCATGTGCTCCAGTTTCCAGAATGTTTTTTGAAGTCTGCCCTTTTCCTCTTTACATTTCCCCCAAATATGACAGGGGGCAGCGGTTGTTGTTTGGATGTAAAATATGTTTCATGTCATGTGAGTTTCTTTGTAAGCTGCTACTGGATGCTTTGAATTTCCCTCGTGATCAATAAAGTATCTATCTAGCCTATCAAAAATAAAATAAAAATCACAACTAGAATCTGTTCATAATCTGTATAATTTGTTAGACATATTTTTTTAAGTGTTCTATTGGCGATTATAAAGAAGCATTATATGATTGCAGTAACCCTGTAGTTCAAAAACAAGGAAGTAGGAACAAGCGGATTAGACGCAAGCTTTTATTTCGATACTCAGAAGCTCACAAAGCTAAAGGGGGCGTGGCTTCAGGGCTTCAGGGCCCCAGTCGAGATGCCTCCAGGCGAGAGGGCTCCAGACGAGTGGGCATGAGATGAGAGGCTCCAGGCTACAGACATACACTCTTGGCACCACTCGCTTCTCATCTGCTCGCCAGCAGCTCGCCGTTAGCCCGAGTCTATCCCACCAGCATGGAGGTGCGTTTCTGGGACTCTAGTGACTTGAACTCTGCCTCTGTGAGTTTCCACCTGTTATTTCTGCACGGTCAACGTGAACCGGCTTCAACTGTACTCGGTCGTGACTCCGCAGCTTCGACCAGGCCTGCGATGTGGAGTTTGTTTTATTTATTTTTTTTCCAGCTTGTGTGTTTGTGGGCCCCACAAGTTTAATAGTAAACACTTCTTAAAGGTCTTAAAGAGCTCTTTTGGTGGTTAATATTAACAGAGGTATTTTGTGGCAAAATTCATTGACAGTGAATAATACTATAACAAAGTTAAAGGGACATTACATTGAATCAACTGATCCTAAGAATTAAAACAGGATAATAATTTAACATTGAAATTAAAGGAGCCGTGTCACAAAGGTAACCAAGTATCTAAAAACAGAAATAGAGGGTTAACTAACACACATAAAGGCCTGACACACCAAGCAGACGGCAAAGAGCTAATGGCTGAACGAAGGCCGACTGTGGTGACTCACGACGCCTTTGGCTTGGCCAAAAAGTTGCACTTTGTGCAAAGACTACAGCCAACGGACAACCAGCACATACGTTCTGCACATGGGTGAGAGGAAACAACTCTCCATGCCAGCAGGCGGCGCTAGTTTGTTATGATACGAGAAGACCATTTTCACACTGCGCCGCGCACCACTCGTATAAATCCAGAAGTACAAGTAGAAAACAGCTGAACCACACTAAACTAATTTTATCAATAAATAAAAAATCTCATCCATGATGGCGTGAAATCTGATGTTAGAGTTCATTCTTTATATTTTGGAAATCCTCATCTTTCTTTTTTATTCACAATCTATGGTATGAACCAGCTTGTCCAGTAAGAGGCAGGTCAATTTTTTATTTTATTATTTTATTTTTTATTTGAATCTTTACCACACACAGAGTGCGGTGACATGAACAACAGTACATCTCTTTGTGTCATACTTGGGTCAAATTGATTTGGACTAATTTGGGTCAATTGAATTTGGAGAGATTTGGGCAAAATTAATTTGGACTCCATGGTCTTGAGGTGGAGTATTTTTGTAATTATTAGTAATTAGTATTGAGTAATATTTTTTTGTGGTAAATTTATTGTGAATGATTGATGAATTCTGGTTCTGTGAAACCTCATACAAAGCTGAGTCTTTCAGTGACCTGAAGGGCACTGTGAGTTGTAAACAGCTGATGACAGTCAGCGTTGGTATAACTGTGCCTGGTTCCTAGGTCTATAGTCTTTATAGTCTTCTCTTTGCTTGTTGAGCGTGGACTCGACATGTCCAGCTGTTGTTTTTGAAGCCTGAAGAAGTTTTCCTCAGATTTCCGGAGAGCTGCGGCCAGCATGTGCTTCTCCTCCACAGTCTTGATGTAGTTGTTCAAAGTGTCCTTCAGCTCATCTTGAAGCTTTCCACTGGTGATCCTTTCTCTCTCAGAGGCAATTTGATCAACTCTCTGCTGCAACTCAGAGTTCTTCGTCTGTTGCTTTGTGAGTGCGTCTTCAAGTTGTGTCCGCCTTTTCTTGCTCTCCAGCTCATGTGCATTGAGTGCGTCTACTGTGCGCTCCAGCATATAACGGAAGACTTCTTCTCCGCAAAACGTTCAGAGAGGGAGCGATACTTTGACTTAAGTTTGTCATACTTTCTCTCTGCATCCTGGAATTTATGCCTGATATCTGCATTCTCCATCTTCAGTGTCTGCACATTGTACATGACACGCTCTGAGGACACAGAGGCTTCTCTTAGCTGGTTGTCTGGAGTTTTAGAGATTCAACCTCAGCCTGGCTTTTTAAAATCATCTCCTCACAGTGCTTCTGTTGAATTTTGACTGAAGACCTTAACCCTTCTTCCATATTTAGTCTTTTTTCTAATGCCAGAGTCTTCTCAGAGAGCTCTGCTTCTAGCTTCTGAATCTTTTCATTTGCTTCTGAATACCTGGCCTTCATCAGTTCCTCCTCAAATCTCCTACGTTCTCCGTCTTCCTGAAGCTGTTTTTATGCAAGCTGGCACTCGTCCAGGGCAATCTTCAGCGTTTCGTTCTCAGACTTCAGCTCATGGCTTTTCTGTGTCAGAAATTCTACTACCTTCAAGAGTGAACAGTTATTGGCTTGTTCCTCTTTGAAGTCGGAGGCCTGCTGGTTCACTTTCTCCTGCAGGGAGGAAACAATGTGGTCCTTGCCTTCAATTTAAATTTCAAGACTCTAATTAATGTTGAGTAGGGATTTGATGTCTTTGTTTTTCTGCAGAATTTTGTTCTTCTGCTCATCAATGTGTCTTCTTAGTTGCTTGTTTATAGCACAATTGTCCTTCTCACGCTTTTCTGATTCTTCTTGCAGACTCTGCAATTGCTCCAGATAATCTGTGAGCTTCTCAATCGCAGTATTTTTCTCTTCAAGCTCAGCGGTCAATTCACAGGTCTCGTTATCCAGCTTTGCAAGCTGGCACTCGGTCAGGGCAGCCTCAAGTTCATTCTGCAGCCTGGTATTCTCAGAAGTTAGTTCTAGGAATTTCTGATTATTGATAGCCAGGGATTTGATTTCTTTGTCTTTCTCAAGACTTTTCTTCTGCTGCTCGACGAGTTGGTCATTTGGAGACGCCTCCAAATTGCTGCTGAGCTTCTTGATTTCCTGTTTTTTGTCTTCGAGCTCAGAGCACATTTCACTGACTTTGTCTGTCAGTTTTTGCCTGGACCACTTCAGTTCTTTCTGAGACTTTTTATAATCAGCCAATTTGGCATTTAATCTCTCAATTTCAACACTGAAACTGCGTGTGTTAGCTTGCTCCTCCTCTATAGCCTTTGTAAGCGCTTCTTTTTGTTTTCGTTCCTCCTCCAGGGCTTTATTCTCATGAGATCTGGTGCTTTTTTCAAGAGGTACTATGTCTCTTTTCTTCTTCCTCAGATCATCTTGGAGATCAGCATATTTCTGTGATCTCTCCGATTTGGCAGATCCATCAGATCTGGTAATTCTCTGAGATCTATCTGATCTTTTAGATTTCTCAGATCCATTAGAACTATCTGATCTCTCTGATATGTCCAAGCATCTTGAAGTATACAAGAAATTTGATATCTCCAAGCTTTCCAAGTTCTCCAAGTTCTCCAAGTTCTTGGATCTCTTCGGTATCTTTTCTTCAACAACCTCTGATCTCTCCGATCTGTGTGAGCTGTAGGTGGCGTTTAGTTGTCCATCACCAGGCTTAATAAAATGAAATCTTGTATATAATGTTTTTCTATTAGCGAGTAAAATGTAATCATGTGATCATTACAGACCAGCTGCTTTAGCATCAAAACAAGCTAAATGCATATCTACATACAAGTATTTCACACTAAAACTACTCCATGAGGATTAAATGCAGCAGCGGATTCATGAAGCTAAAAAAAATTTCGGGCAGTCCCAACATATGTGTATAAAATCCAAAAAGTCCACATCCTCTCCAGCACAACTCAGAAGTACTGGGATGGATGGGGTGTTTAAGTATCGCATTTTGACTTTCCAGTCAAACTCTCATCAAAATGTGTTTTTAAATAAGTAGTACTGGTTTAAATACTGATGTAAATGCAGTTCAATAAGTGGATGACATACGATCTTATTTGAGAAACAGTCCAAAGATCACCAGACCACACTTTTAATTGTACAAATACTTTTTCATACTCAATCTGTCGGCCACACCTGCAGATTACAGCCCAACTCGACCACGCAGGTCAAAAGTCACGCTCCACCACTGGTTACTGCTTGCAAAAAACTTTCAAAGTAAAGTTTCCGCTTCGGAAGTTTACCATTATTTCAAAGCTTTCGGAACAAATTTTAGCATATATTAAATCTGCTTTGTTGTCAGAAAGTTTTAAGCAAAAACTGAGCTTACCTACACAAACTTAGTATCATCGGGGAAGAGATGGGAATCACAGCGGGAGAAGAAGTGACAGAAAAAAGAAAAGGGAGGACAAACATTGAGTCACAAAAGAGAGGGGGATAAGTTTAACTCAAATTTGAGCAATATGGAGTAAACATTTTAAGATTCTACATTTTGTAGTTTTAAAGACAATTCATGTATAATATTTTCATTGATTAAACTGAACAAATGAGCTCATATTACCCAGAGGAAGTTCTACCCTCAGGACAAACTGCACTTCTTGGTGTCTAAAAAAAGCAGCATGTAAAAGATATAGTGTGAGATATTCAGAGAGTAAAATGAGAACACAGAGAAAGGATGAATGCCACAAAGAGGAAACAGATAAGGACATAATTAAACACACTGAAAAGGTCGAGTAAATATCGCCGGCAAAGTAAACCTCTACTGACAGACTCTGTGTGAAACGACACTAGAGCAGCCAGCTTCTCATACATGGTTCATACTGTCTTTTTGCTGCTTCTTTGACTTAAGTTACAAAACAATTTTAATGAGTTTCTTTAAGTCAGGGTTTCATCTCCTCCGGTAACCCGTCTGTTCCCATGGCAACACAAGTCCCTGTAGTTTCTGCACCACACTGTCATTTCTCAGCTCCTTGGTAACGCGGGGGGGAAAAAAAACCTACTTTTCAGCAGCATGCCTGATGCTGTTTCCGTGGAAACCACAGTTGCAGTCGCCGCTGTACGGTTGTTGTTTTCATGGCGTTACTTTATAAACGATATAGTTAACGCGGCTTGATCATTGAACATGAAATAAAAAACAATAGCTGTGTTGGTTTGATTGATTTCACCTTTCACCTTCAGGAAATGTTAAATGTGAAGCTTATTGGACATGACAACAGAACTGATTCGTTTTTATAATGTTTGAGATACATGATGTCCGGATAACCAATGGCACAGCTCATATTTTAAAGTTTTTAAATCAATCTGTGGTACTGCAGCCCTACTCTGCGTCTCTATAGATCAAACAAACTGTGAGTTTAAATTTTCAGTTTTTCTCATTCTCCATCGTGTCTGTGTTTCCAGGTATCTCCTGTACCTCCAGCTGAAGAGAGACATCTACCATGGTCGTCTTCTCTGTCCTTTTGCTGAAGCTGCATATCTGGGAGCGTGCATCATACAGGGTGAGGCCAAATGAAAACAAGAAGTGACTCTGGTATTAACAGTCTCATGTGGATTAAGCATGTCTCAGCTAAATCCCGACTGTCTTGCATTTGTTGTAGGTTTGTAGGCTCACTGCACCTTGAGTACTGCACATTTTGTACATCTTGTGTTTTCAGATTTTTTATGCTCTATTATATAAAATTATGCTCTATTATATAAAAAAATTGCTTCTTATATTGGATTTTATTTAAGTTCTTGCTGTTTTTGACTCATTTCCTTAATTTTGCACCAACACACAAAGTCAAATTCATTGTATGTGCACATGTACTTGGCAACAGAGATATGTATAAATGATATATATTATATATATATATAATATTTATAAGAGCCGATGACCAGAGCCAACATCAGTGGAGTTTTCTGTCCAGTTTGAAATTGGAAAGTGGCCTCGGAGCAGTCAGGCAGGAGTCAACTCGTCTTTGTTTACTACCAGGATTCTTCCTGCGATGAATTCAATACTAATCAGAGAACATTATACTTCTGTATCACACTTTTGGTCCACTTGTTAATGTCCCCATGTGAAAACAGACCAAACTTGAGGTCGTTATGTAACAATGTGACAAACTGAACCATAATTCGGACCAGCGCAAACTAACTATAGGTGTGAAAATTGGGCGGCAGGAGCTCAGTCTGGAGGGACTTGGGTTAGGAACCGGAGGGTTGCCGGTTCAAATCCCGGTGCGACCAAATATGGAAGTTGGTCTGGTAGCTGGAGAGGTGCCAGATCACTTCCTGAGCACTGCAGAGGTGCCCTTGAGCAAGGCACCAACCCCCCTCCCCCCCCCCCCACCACCAGCTCAGGAGCGCCTGCTGTGGGCAGCTCCGTCACTCTGACATCTCTCCATAGGATCCTGTTTGTGCATGTGTGTATATTTCAGCCTGTGTGTGTGTGTGTGTGTGTGTGTGTGTGTGTGTGTGTTGCATGGTTAACAGAGTGTAAAAACAGAAATTTCCCCTTGCGGAGATCAATAAAAGTAAATCTTAATCTTAATCTTAAAACACCCTAAATATAAATGACTTTTGTTTATCTCTTAAACAGACAAAGCTGACTGTTAAAAATAAATTATTCCTACAGACTACACATCACAAGATGTGCATGCACCCATGGGTAAATGGAAAAGAGATCATGCAAACATCTTTCCCCTCTGTTAATTAGTAGTAACACTTAAATGTTGAATCATATTGCAAAGCCACTTGCTTCAATATGGATTAAGAGTGGAATTAGCAGTCCTGTATCATATAAATAGACCCCTCGGGCTGATACATAAATCCGTGAACTGTGTAAACTCTCTCTGATTGGCTCGTATCCCCAGAGAGCAGAGGATGACTGGCTGCGAAATCCCGACCTAGAGCGCGTCTGCAGCTTATCATTGGCTGCTTTGTTTAACAAGGGCAGGTCCCACTTTGTCAGGGTGTTGATTACAGAGCTGGAGAATATAGGTTGTGGATTACTGTTTAATTAAACTCCAGGCAAGTATTTGTTTTAACCTTCATTATGCCTGTTAATTAAAAAAGGATTTAAAAGAGAAATGAGTGTCTGTTAGGACTTTGTTCTTGATTCAATAAGGAATATGTTTATCTATAAAGCTAATGAGTATTTTCAGCTGTGATAATTATAACAGCCTGTGTTGAAAAAGATCTGTCTTTAGCAAATCTGCTGATGACACAAGGCTTCTAAAACCCATGTGAAAGACATAGTTTGACATTTGGGGTAGTAGTTTATTCTGTTTTTGGGTTTTTTTTTGTGGAAAGTAAGATTAGCTAACTGATTACTCCTAAAAATAACACCTTTCAATATATATAATAGAGCCCAACCCATTAATCTTCCAGCTGATGATATCGGCCAATATTAGCGTATCAAGTGAATACCGGTATTGGCTAATTCTATCACAGATATGCACCGATATTTGTAGATTTTAAGCTATAACTCTTGTTGCACTACCAAGCATCACATGCTTTATAAGAAAAAGATTGTCAATGAAAGTCTCTGAACATAATTAAATGGAATTATTTGATTACTTCTAACATCATAGAGATGAACCCTGGTTGGTGGGCCCCCTTGTGAAGTTTTGTTGAGTGCTCCACCAGACTCCAGAATCATCACTGCTGTTAGGAAGATTTTTTTATGAACTTCGGACAAAGCCAAGCAAGCTTTTTCCACATGTTCAAGTCTTTATACTTAGCTAAACTAACCAGCTGCTGGATCTTGCTTCATATTTACTATATTAAACTTCTAAGTGTTATTCCTCTTCTCAGCTAGCTCTCCAACACCATGCCATTAAGATTACTTTAGGACATATTATACCCCTTTTCTACCTTTTCAAACAGTCCCCCTGTGGTCTAAATGAAACATCTGTACTGTGCATTGCTCAAAATATAACATGAATCAAGCACCAGAAGAGGTTTGTGACCCTGTATAAACGAGCTCTCTCAGAACGCTCCGTTTTGGTGTGTGTGTCTCTTTAAATGCAATGAGCCCCCCCCCCCCGAGTTTTCCTGTAGACATCACTCCTCTGTAGCGAGAATAAAAATGGTGGACCTGCGCAAAAATTTTGTTCTAGGCTGGGGCTGGAGTCCATGGGTGGAGATACAAGGGGATGGAGGGTATTTTGTTTACCAGAATCCCACTGTGACATCACAAGTTGAGCAAATTTGAAACGGATAATTTTTCTCTGTGTTGTAAGACTTATGCAGACCACAAACAAAGGACTGGATGGGTTTATTTCACATTTTGTGGGTCAGTAGACACTCAGGCTACCCAAATATATGTTCAAAAACACTGTACAAGTGGATTTTTCATAATATGTCCCCTTTAATATGTCATGTTAAATTGCAAAAGCGTGAAAAACTTAAAATGTTCCTGTCATAAAGATATACACATTTACACAGTTCTGTGTTTTATCTTGGTCTCTTCTTACCATTTTCCTACTAATTTTACCCTCTGTCTGCAGGTGAGCTAGGGGACTACGACCCAGAGGAGCACCCATCAGACTATATCAGAGACTTCAAGTTGTTCCCAAAACAGTCCCTCAAATTGGAGAGGAAGATTATAGAAATACACAAGAACGAGCTGAGGTAAGAGATCAGTGCATTTGTTTGCCTGATGGAGTTCTTTGTTATCTGGAGCTGCATCGTTGTTATCAGTTCACTGTTTGATTTTGGTGACAGTAGTCGATGCTCAGGCTTTTGATCTGTGTTCTCACGACATGCTGCAGAGACAGTTTTGTTCTCGGCAGGCAGTAAGTTGCTTTGTTCGTTTTTGTTGTACTTCTGGATGGCAGGCGGTGTGAGTGGAAAACATTTGGTTGCAGATTTCTTAGTTAAAATATAAATGTATTCGGGACCGCCACATATACACACAAAACAATTAACATAACATCTGATTTTCTTTCTTAAGCAAATGTCCTTTGCAGACAGAAACAAGAGCAGTTCAGCAAACGAAAGACTGGCTCTCCTCACAGCCTACTCTAAAGTGACACACATCAATAAGTCTGCTGATCTCATACACATTAAAGGTCACATATCGTGCAAAATACACTTTACCATGTTTTCCAACACTACTGTATGTCTCTGGTCTGTATACAAACCATCCGTTTTTATGACAAAAGTCCATCCTCTCCGTCTTTTGCCTGCTCCACTTTTCAAAAAATGTGTGCTCAAACAGGCTGTTTTGAACATTTTCCCGTCATGACATCACAAAGGGCAGTAACCCCTATTGCAAAAGATTTTTCATTTAAGATAAAAAAAAAGGAAATAATAAAAAAATGCCATTAATTTCCAGAGGGAGAAGACACATTTTATATTTCCATTTCCATATCTGGACACCATCATGCTTTTCATTTCAGAATATTCTGAGGTTGAATTATTTTGTAAAGCTGCCTTACAGGATTGATGAGGTTAAAAAAATGGCCTGATCTGGATAAATTAGATCCCCTGATTGATTCTCTCTGATCTACATATGGAAAGAAGATGGCGTGGCCCCTAAAAATGCTCAGACAGGATTAACATTCATAAAGTCTGCAACGTTCTAAGGAAAGCTAAGAAGAAGGCTATGTTTGCACCACAGTGTTTGTGCATGCATGTGGCTATGAGTGTGATAAAGATGAAAATATGGATGTTGTCTCGTTGTCTTATTCTGTGCCTTGTTGGTATATAGGATCACATGATGCACAGGGATGTTTACATGAAACCCTCCCCCCGGTTGTTTACTTGTATCATCACTGCAGCTCATGAATGATGCTGTTAGTTTTGTGACCGTCACACTTAACAGCGATTACAGAACATCAAAGACAAATCCTTGGTTTCCTAAAGCACAGAGACAGACGATGCTAGGAGCCCTCTGTTGGTCCGTCAGACAGGATTAACAGCTTGTAGATTTTTACTGAGCTGTAGATGGAGACTTCAGGTTGTTTACAAATGAAATGTTACAGACAGTGTCTGACATATGTTTATAGCAAAGCAGTTCTTTGCTGTGTTAGTGCACAGAGACAGCGCACACCGTAGTTCCTTAGACAGATTGAAAACTATCCTTCATTTTGATGAACATCATGTGAACATGTTGGTTAAACAGCTTTTCATTTACATCGAATCAAATCATTATAATGTCAGAGATGGGAAATGTTGGGAGGAGAGAGAGTGGGGAATGACATGCAGCAAATGGCCGAGGTGGGATTTAAAACCCACAGCTGCTGCGATGGCGACTATAACATTGTTTTTAACAAGAATTTCTAAGTGAAACTTTAGAATGATTTTGTTATTTAGGAAAGGCAAGTTTATTTGTAGAGCACCGTTCATACATCGAGTGACTCAAAGTGCTTAACAGAGTTAAAAAACATCATTAAGCAAATATAAGACATTCAAACACAACCTGTATTAGCACATTACAGTGAAACAGTTAAATGCAAACATCACTGCTTATTAGGCCTCAGTATTTTTATTCTTCTCTCTTGGACATAAAATATTAGACACAACTTGAAATCACTCGTCAGCTGCACTTCTATGTTTCTGTACGGCCTCTAACCTTGTATCGAACCTTTAACTCTTTATATATTGGGACTTGAACCTTTTTTACGTTGTTGCTTTAACACGTTTCTTATCTCTTTCAAATCCTTGAATGCAAACAAATCCTCTAAGGCCTGAGTCCTTTTCTCTTAAGGTCGCTTTCTAACACAAAATGTAATGAACATCTGGTCAGTTTTACTTATTAAACTTGCAGCATTGCCTCTGCAGTGTTTACAATATGGACCTGTAGAGATATAGAAAAAGATAAGTAGACAGATTCTTCTGGCTTCCTCAAACTGACTAACAGGAAGTGACCTGTGTCCTCAAGCATGACAAACAAACATCAAACTAAAAGTCCATCTAACATTATGGCTTGAAGGCAACACGGTGTGTAACGTCAACAATATCTATCCCGGGTTCACCGGTGTTGTGGTTTTTCTTTCTGGTTCTCTGAAGCAGCTTTCTATTGTCTGAAGTTGATGGCAAGTTTCCGACATTAAAGGGGGCGTGTCTGTGAAAAATAAACTATGAGTTAATAATAACAATTATTCATGGTGTATAGTTAAGTCATTGAATTTCTTTGTAAACACAACAATGAAAACAGAGCAAATGTAGGTTGTAAATGTCCATTTCAGTAGCAAGGACCACTCCACAACAATATTTATACAAATTAAAGTGACTCTGTATGATATATTGAGACGGATGTATGTGTATGAGAGGGGTGTAGGTGAGAGATGGCCGTCATCTTTAAGGCTGGTCTGGGAGGTTGATCGGAAATCGGGCGAAAGGGAGACTCAGAGTGGAGGTTTCTTCTCGGGCATTAATCTACCCGGCCCAGACTGTAACCTGAAATGTTGAGACACGGGAGAGGCATGTGCCGAGACGAAAAGGAAGGGATGAGGAATAAAGGAAGGGAGGGTGGGTTGAAGGAACTGAGACAAACAGAGTGAGGTGAGGTGACCAGGTGTAAGTCGGCTTGCCGGGTAATTGGAGGTGTGGTTTTAGGCGTGGTCCTGCTCCTGAACTTAAAACATTAACTCGGTTTGGACTCATGGGGGAACAAAACCAAAAAATAAAAAATTGTATTAACACAAAGTCATTATAATACCTGCAGTGTACTTTCATCCAAACATCCAGAGCCACCTAGCTAACACTGACAATGTGTCGATTCGTTTCTCCTCTTCTCTCTTTCAGGGGTCAGTGTGCTTCTTTTGCAGAGTTGAACATGCTCCAAAGAGCTCATAGCCTGGAGACGTACGGAGTTGACCCTCACCCCTGCAAGGTAACGTCACCAGAGAACGCCCACTTGAGCAGTCTGTTATTATGTGAGGCCTGGTGCTGTCCCCATGTGATAACAGTGATGCAAAACTCTCTTTTTCCATGTTGGTTCAATTTATTCTGCACCTTTAAGTATTTCATACATATCACTGTAGATAGGTGAGATGCAATGTAGAGTCTCATTTCAGTAGAAATGTTCACTGAAGTTGTCCGTGCATGTTGTCCAGAGGGGAGCACTCTGACTGTTTCCATTGCGCACATAAAGTCACCTGTCTTCTTTACACTTTGCTCGCTTGCTTGCTCTTAATTTGCATATTAAACAGACAAATATACACATGGTTAGCTTTACCCTCGGCAACCTTTCAGCAAACCAAAGAGTTCACCAAATAAAGGAATAGTAGAGGTTGGACTGACAAGATATACGAGGGAAGGTCAACAAATGTCACATTTTCATACTTTCACTTCTGATTAGAAATAACCTTCGCACATCCATTTCACAAGACCGGTGTGTAGGGGAGCAATGTGTCCCTCAAAAACTTAAAGGTAACTCCCACACACTGTCTAATTTGAAAAAAAAAAAAACATTTAGTGGCAACGTTTCTGTACTATACATTCAAGAGGCCAACCTAAAACCGATAAATGTTTGCCAGTTAGACAGTGTGTGGGAGTTTACCTTTAAAGGCTGAATGTGCTACATTTTACACATAAATGTAGCACAAATCAAGTAAATCCTCTGAAAATAACTCTGTGAGTCATGACTGTCTACATTGAGTGTGACACCCGAGTCCCACTGTCTGTGATGTATCTACAGCGTGTTTACATCGCCAGGACGGCCGGCCGACTCATCCCCTCGTGTGTAAAAGGTTTTGATTGAGGGACTAGAGAAAGAAGAATAACATACTGTACTCACTGCTTATTTGAATGACACAGTCATGTCATGTAAATGTATATGCAGTGTGAAGATACGAGCAAAATAAAGAGCGCTAGCATTAGCATGCTAACACTACAATGCATCGCAAGTTGTTTTGGTTTCATGCTGGTGCTCAAGGGCGACATCTACTGGATCATAAAATCATATTCTTCCCTTAAGTTACTATACTTACTTAGGCTTTCTTATCTGGGAACATGATTCCAGCAAGAGAAGTCTGGTTCCTATGGCAACTTTACGTTCATGAAATGTATATTTTCATTGATTGGTCAGCGTCATTCCCCTTTTCATAACAACTCTGGTCAGATTTACTTTGCAAACTTTGCTTTATTTGACTGTGATGAGAACACTGCTAGTGTTTTTCCCTGTACTCCTATGAGAGATGGATCAGACTACATCTGATAGAGAAAAGTAATATTTGACAATCCGCTCTCCTGATCATCCTCCGCCTTGCCAGATTGCACAATATGGACACCGTCCCATGAACAGCCGAGTCCGCCTGGCAGATTAAAGGGATAATTCTGTCTGCTGGAGAGGATCTCCTTTATCTGCTCAGATTCTGTCATTTGCTTTTTTTATTTGGTTTGCTGGAATTAGGAATGAATCATCCGTATAGATCTGTGAAGATCATGAATCAAAAGGAGCCTGCAAGAAAATGTGAGGAAACATAAAGTCACTAAAAAAGAAGGAAAAGAAAAGCACTCCTGCAGAACGAAGGAGGTCAATATATCGTGAACAGCCATGCGGAGAGTGACAGGAACATCTTGTTTATATTCTCTGGAGTTGATGTTTTTTTTTTTTTTGATCTCAGACTGAGTCTAACTGTTCTGTGTTTTCACTCTTTGCTGTTGATGCCATTTACGGAGAATTTGGGGGTTGACATTTGGAACAAAACAGTGATTTGTGTTGGTGTCATTACCATGGAGATTATCGATGCCCACTCGCCACCCCGCTGTTCATCCACCTGGATGCCATAATGCCATGTTCTGCCTCTCACACTGCATATGTGTGTGTGTGTGTGTGTGTGTGTGTGTGTGTGTGTGTGTGTTTGCAGGATTTCACAGGCTCCACAGCGTTCCTCGGATTCACAGCCACAGGTTTTGTGGTCTTCCAGGGGAACAAGAGGATCCACCTCCTCAAATGGTACAAATTTCACATTTATTATCCGATATCAACCAGTGGGCACCTTAAACCTTGACGCAACAATATGTAACTTTTCCACCTTAAAATAGTAATTTTTAAGGTCGATTTAATAGCAAAATACCTTTCAACAACATGGTAGGCATCTCTCCCATGTAGTGCGGCCATTGTTTGTTTACTGCAGTAACTCTGTCCACTGTCCTGTCCACAGAATTAAACCTTGTGGTTGTTTGCAGGAACGATGTGAGCAAGCTGAAGTTTGAGGGGAAAACCTTTTACGTCATCGGGATTCAGAAAGAGGTGAGTGCAGCGTCCTCCTGCATGAACGTCTCCTCTAAAGGGTAAACCTGAACACTAGACTTTGCTGTGTAGTTTCCTCCATTGTGATAACGAATTGTGAAGTCTTGTACTTAAGTGCAGCATGATGATGACCTTGACCTCCTACATTTGTAGAGAGTTGTTCTTCTGGATTAAAAACTCCCCCCTGACTTTTAGATTCACAGTAGGACTCTACTGTACTGTTTTTATCCTCTGTCCGCGTTCCTTTCTTTCCTTTCATCATACGGGTAATGGTTACATCAGATAAATGTGCTTTACAGTTTGTCTGTGTAAACTTGTCCACCATCACACACACTGTATATGTGTGTGTCACTGTTTCAGATCTCCTTAACAGGCAGGATGCACTGTAACAGGATGGTGGGTGTGTTACGACTAACCTCCTCGCTCACATTATGTGTCCACTGTGGCCCAAATATGAGACGCCTTCACTGCAGTCAGGAAACATGAAAATAACACAGAGAGCAAATATTGTCTTTAAACGCAGGTTTCTCGCATTTGGGACACAGGTTTCATCCGTACGCTCATCTTTGTCATCCAGCCCAGCAGGGGGGTGTCCAGATTTTTTTTTTTGACTGGGTTGGCCCAACTCAGGCTAAACTAATTCACGGGAGGCCTAAAGTTTGCCTGCACAGACAAACCCAAATTATTATAATTTATCAACACTTTCTGTCTCCACTACTCATCTCTATTTTAAATACTAACATGAAAAGTATCATATAAATGCTATTGTACTTGGGCACTTTTTAAACTTTATAACGTAACACAACAGATTGGCAGCATATACAAATTACTGCCTGAAGTATGTCCAAAGTCATTATTTTAGGTACTTAAAAAGCAAGCAAACTCCTGAACACTGACTAACTTGCAAAAAACTACACTTATTAGCCATGGTTTAGTCCTAAACTTAAACATTTTTGCTTTGTTTTAGGAACTGAAACAATGTGCAGGACTTTGCTATCAACTTTTTAAAAACCCAGTTCTCCCTGAGCACCTGTGTAATGAAAAACATGTGCGAAGTATTTTTCTATAATTTAAGATATCAATAAATGTTGTGCTTCAAATGCTAAATGCTAAAATGTAAGCAAAACAACCATTGCAGCCTCTTACAACACAGCCTCATTGTGGTTTAGGATTTGGGGTTGGCACCTGGGGTGGCCAATCACATTTCATGGGGGCCCATGCCACCCCTGGCCGGTCCTCTGGACACGCCCCTGCAGCCCAGAGCTTTGGTAGATTCTGAGCAGCAGAGCACTGTGGTGCACATTGCCCCATATATTTTCATATAACCTTTAAACTGCTTAAAAAAAGAGAAGACTGTGTCCACCATTGCTGTTTCTCTCACACATTAACCCACATTCTTAATTTAGCTGCAGCCAGGTTGCTCTGTAATCTACCAATCAGCCAATCCAGCACATAACTCTTCTCTTCGTTACAGAGGCTTAAAACCAGCTCTCTCATCTCTGCTTAGCCCGTCAGTCTGTCTGCCTGTTTGTCTGTTTGGCGACTCATGAGTGGCTGAGGATGCAGTTTGATCTTTGTGTTTCTGTCTCTTCTCTCTGTGTGTAAACATAGTCATCAATGGTGAGTAAACACATGAAATAATAGCAGCACAAAACAATGTTGTTCTGAGAACCTCAGATTTAAAATGCCTCTGTTCACAGTCCTGCCCTCACCTCACCTTTGACCTGGGGAACTTTTTCATCTTGACCACATTCATGTCTCTGTTCATTGTTGTTTGTGTCATCATGTGTTAGTTTTCTTAAATGTCTGTACTGCTTCAGATATCTCCATTATCAGTTAACAATAACATGCTAGTGTTCATATCTTTATTCTAATTTTGTCCTTATGTGTCTGTAAGTGTTCGTTCGTATATTTGTGAACATTCACATCATTTGAGTTGTTTTTTTTTTCATTATAATTAATCAGAAGTTTATTCAGAGTCTTCCACAATGTGACAGGTCACTGCATGATTTCACTCTCTGCCCTCACTGGTGTTATTAAGCCGAAAACACATGAACTTAACAGTCCCACTTTGAACTGATAACTACTTCAAATGGCCTTTTTACTGCAGCACATGCTTGAAAATCTTTTCAATCAGAGTTAAATTAACCTGCTGCAACCGTATATGCTGTTGATATTCTCAGATGCTCTATGTATACTGCAATAAATAAAAGATTAAAATGTCACGTCATGCTTTCTAAGCACTTTTGTCATGTCAGCCAAAGTGGGACCAAAGACAACTTTAAACATGCAGATCTGGTACTCTCACACATGGACGCTGCAGCACATGTGTGTTTGTCATAACAGAAATACCTGATGTGTGACGCTGAGGGGGCTGAGCAATATCGCTGACTTTAGAAAAAGCAACAAGCTGCATCAGTGCACAGCTGTAAACTGTGTGTGGAGGTTTTTCTTTAGACTAGTTCATGTTTCAACATCCCTGTCTTTTCTTTTTATAAATATGACTAATGGTTATGTCTAGCCATTGCTGTATCTGTTTTACAGTACCTCCCTCCCTTGTTATTGATCTCTGTATTTCCTCTCTCTCTCTCTCCCTCTCCCCTCGTTGTAAAGCAGCATTGATCTGGTCTCTTGTATTACCAGACACACAGGAGTGAAAACCAGACATTTACAGGAATACATCCCCCTCCTCCCTGTCCATAAAAACCAGTGTTCTGCAGCCTACAAGCTCTTTTACTGCTGGACATTGAGGCCAAATCACTATCTGTCCAGCATCCTGCTAAGCTTACCACTTTGGGTCTGTGGGTCAGCATTTTGCACAGCTCCCTCTCACCGTGTTCAGCACTTCTCTCACCTCTCTTTTTTTTTTTTTTTGGTGATCTCTTTTATTATCCTCACTGTTTTTGTCTTTCTCCTGTTTTTGTCCTTTTCTGCAGAAGAAACTGGTGTTGACATTTCACACATCGACCCCTGCAGCGTGTAAGCACTTATGGAAGTGTGGGGTGGAGAACCAGGCCTTTTACAAGTGCGTCAACACACATACACACACACACACACCCAAAATGTCCCTTTGTCAATAAAAAGTTAGTTGTTGTTGGTAGAAAATGTCCTAAAAGATGAGTAAGTATTCCCAAGATGGGTGATAGGCTTTGCATAAATAAAATAAAAATAATCATCTAATATTCAAATCAAATAATGCTACAGATAAAAGAACAATTAAAGACAAAACAATATTTACATATTTTAAGTAGGATTTAAAAAAACGTGTATGTTGATGATAACACATGTAGGCAACCCTTTATACTTTGTAGCTGTACTTGGATACTTGTACTTGTACTTTTTGCTGCCTGAAAATTTCAGGCAGCTGGTCCCCAAAGTCTTCCTGATTTAGTTGTTCACAGCAGGAGGCTTTCCCTGTCAGACAGGGGTGAGGGGTCCCATGAGGCACGACAAGGTGTAAAAGGAAACGTGGTAATGACTGACAGAGCAGCAGAGTCCGACAATATTTGATACTTTATAACAATGCTACATGTTGTTCAACACATTCACAATATCAACAAAGACTGAAGAACAATATTCTTGTGAACAAAAAAACATAATGAAGGGGTTTCAAGGATCATACCGGTCGCTGCATACAAACATCACCCCCTCCTATACTCATGTGCAGAGTGTTTTTCCTGAATGTTCCATGCTGTGTTCGATAATCAGCTCACCGCGACCCCACGCGGAGCATGTAACAGCAGGCTAGCAGGGAAAGTTCTGGGTAAAGTTGGGGTGTAAATTCAGACATTTGCAATCAGACATACAGCTCACCCAACATATGTCCTGAAAGTCGTTTGTGTATGTGTGAAAGCACCACTTAATACTTAAGAGCAAATTTCAATAAACACAGATTTTAAAACCAAGCGTAAACCTCTGCTGTTCAAATATGAAGCCAAGGAAGTTCAAAAACCTGCAGTTCATCAAGTGTCCACTTGAGGCTGGCCTGCTGAAGCACAGCATGTCACATACACACCCCATTCAGAAAAAGCTGTTTTTACAGTAAGAATGAAAAGCTTTACAGCCTGGTTTAAAAAAAACAAAATAGGTATGATTAGCAAAAGTCTATATTGGCACACACTACAGATTTTTTGATAACTTTGATTTTTTATTTTAATGAAGGATATTCTTTATTCACAATCAGGCGATCAGCTGACCTGGTTGACGGAAAGGTGCAGTGTTGCTGTTTTTCTGGAGGCTTAAGACCCGCCTCAGCTCTCAGCTTGTTGTTAGATCGACTAAAATTTAGGTTGAGTCAGCATTTCTAGCATGCCGACCACCATCGACAGGCTTCCAAAGCCCCCTTACAGTTACCAATGGGTGACATCGCTCAGGAATGAGTGAAGGGATGAGGTGAACAGTTGGTTGTAGCAGCTTTTTATTCATATTTAAATGTAATCCTTTCTTTTGATTCTTTTGCTGCTCAATTTTCCCTTATCAATGTTTCTGCTGCCATTCGAAAGCTTTCTCCAGAAATCCACTTCCACATGGATTTTTCACACATAATTTTCCTCCCTCTCCGGGCTCTGCTGTATTATGCTGCCGTCTTTCACTCCGGAGCAGCTGATCGCTCCGAGGCCGTTGCTCGTCTATTGACTGACTATCGACACTGCCGGCGTGTCAGGAATGGAAACAGTGACGGAACAGAGACATCATTTCTTTTGTGGTCATGGTCGCTACAAGGTTGAGAGCAAACAGAATTGAACGAGCTTCGCCTCAGTCGAGGTCCAGTGAGGATATCACAAAAGAAATTCACTGCACTTTATAGTTGCTCGGTAACAACAGAGGAAGCTCATGATTACATTTCTCGAGTACTATGTGGCACAAAGCAGATGTTATACCGTCATGCTTTACGTGTAAGTGAAAAAGCTAACAAAAGGAAGACATAGTTATGAAAGCTCTCTGATAACAGCCCTTAATGACAGCAGCTCATGTTTCTCTGGGAGTGCATGTCAGACAGGCATCAGATCTTAATCCAATCAAAGTGAATTGAGTTTGGAAATGGCAGCCAAGCAGAGCTTTGAGAAAATACGGCCTCACTCACACACACATACAGCAGAGCAGAGGTATGTTAATGTGTGTTTGTGTGTACCTTGGCACTGTCCCTGCTGCTCTGCATGATAAATGATCCTGAACGTAACATCGAGGTTTGACCTACAGCGTAAGCTTTAAAACACACCTTGAAACATCTCCCTCTTTCTCTCACTAAGAGGCTTACGTTTGCACTGGAGACCACTCGCTGTTGGTACTTTACCTCAAAGAACATTAAAGATGTATCGTATGAAGAGTTACTGTCACAGTCACAGACATAAACTGACGAGGCCGAGCGACTCTGTCTTTGTTCTGCAGATTCTTTATAATTATGACATCTTTGTCTCCCTGACAGGTGTGCAAAGTCGAGTCAGATAAAGACAGTTTCCAGCAGCAACATCTTCTTCAAAGGCAGCAGGTTCAGATACAGGTGAGAAAGTATTATGGTTTGCTTTCTAAACAGTGAGCATGATTCATTTTCTTTTTTCTTTTTCCAGCCATATGCGGTGTGTGTTCAAGGGAAGCAGTGAAAGACGACAAAAGTTTACGCATGTGAGAGATGGAGATGCAGACAGCTGCAGGTGGAGATACAAAGATGAAGAGTGGGATTCAGTCACTTGAAAGACCTCAGTTCACCTGCAGGTCAACTTCCACTATCACTAGTCATTGCAAGCAATATCCTGCACACTGCAGAAAGTGCAAAAAGACATTTTAATAGCAATGTTTTGTTGATAAGAGCTTCATCAGTGGAACAGTTTATCAAAGAGACAGGACAGCCTGCAACCAATACACATCGTATTATCAGATCTGAATGAATAAACATATAAACACATTAACAACATCTGCTTCCTGACTGAGAGTTAACAAACCATTAAGATGCATAAATCTAAAAAAAGTAACAAATAATACATTTTGAATTCATGCATTCAAGTTAAGTGGACATTCAAAATGACATTAGCTCATGAATCAGTCATAAAAAGAGGAAACTGTTTGTCTGATTTATTAATGAAATGCTGCTTATAAATGTATTTTTGCAGGATTGCATGTGCAGGAATTTGCTTTTGACTGAAGGACTCATTCCTCTTCTCTTCTGTGTTTGAGATAGCTGCTAGAAGAATTCGGCATCAACCAGCTCCTTATTAGCATGCTAATTAGTAATATACTGGCAGCTTATTTGTCATTATTAAGCAGTTCTTTATACCTTCATTCAACATGACCATAGTCTATAGCTACTAGGCTATTGCACACTGAGTCAGTTTTTTTAGTCCAAAATTGATGCACGTTAAAAAAGGAATACGATGTCATGTTGTCATTCATGTTTGTTCATCGACTTCAAAAATAAACACAGTGGACTCAGTGTGCAAGGTGTCTGTGCGTAGCTTGTGTTTTGCGGATTATGGATCCAAAAAACACATCCAAATTTTTTGCTCATTGCAAAGGCCTTCAGAGTTTGCCCTCAATACCCTCCTAATTACTGCTTATTGAAATATTTAAAAGTGTATTATGATCTTAATATACTCTTTCTTACTTCGACCTTGTAAGGGCAATACTAAGCAAAGAATATTAAGATCATAACTCGTGTACAACAACTTCCTAACTCACTATCAATAAGCAGTAAATCTCAAGTTAATGGTCTATTAGCTGTAGACTAGTCATGTAGAGTAAGGTCCTACTAAGCCCTTAATAATGACTTATAAGCAGACAGTATGCCACTAAAGCAATAGTCAATGGTGGATATTGTGACCTTAAATTAAAGTGTGACCAATTCTTCTAAGTTCAACTTTTACATGAGATAAAGTTCTTTTATTTCAGCCATTTTCAGAGATATGTGACTTAAATCAACTTCAGCAAATCTTAAATCAAAGTGACTGTTGCTCTGAGAAACGTACACACCATCAACAGATCCCGATACTTCTTCTTTCCTTTGTGCGTCACCACCTGAGTCCAGCTCTGTATCTGTGATTTACTGATCCGGATATCAGAGGAAAGCCTCTCTGTGGGTCTGTTATTGAAGCTGTATATTGTACTCCCAGACCCTCCTCTCACACAGAGCTCTTTACTAGACTCACACTTCAGCCTGCTGCCATTTCATCTGCCCGCTAAAGCAGTCTGGCTTAAAGGCTCAGCCGTGAGTTATAGCATTCACTGGAGTTTGCTCTGAAATATGGGAATTTGACGTTTGTGCACATGCAAACAAGAAAGAGATTTGTGGTGCTCTTACGAAGAGAATTTTCCCAACACAGGGCAGATCAGATCTTTGTCAGACTTTGTGTTGGATCAGCTCTTTACTGTTCCTCATGAAGGATTTTTCTGAGTTTTTCAAAGGGCCAGCATTTGGCAGGAAGCAGTGCTTATGTGTTTGTACGATCAGGTTGAAGCCTACTCCTCCAGATGTTTCATTTCCCCCCTCTAATTTACAACCTAACCATCAATCTCAGCAACAATAGACTAATGTGTGGGCTGCTGGAGCCTGCTGGCTTTAAACTGAGCTATCAGAGTCCAGAAACTCAAACCGCCCAACAATCAGACTAATGGAGCTACACCCTGCTGGCAGGAAACAGCCTCCTCAGCTGCACAGAAACAGCTCTGATCATGAGCAACAATTGAATAAGAGGAAAAATAAAAAGGCTCTTCTAAGCTTGGCCTAAAAGTCAGACTAGCACTTGAAAGTCACAATTGATACAGAGGTTTAAATGCAAAAAACAGTCTAACAAATATTTTAACCCAATAGAAGCTTGAGGAGTCTAGATTGCAAAAATAAAGCCTGAATTTCTTCTAATGAATAAAATAAACCTGCCAATACAGCCACCGCATTTTATTTATTTTACCAAGTGTCTGGAAACGAGATGGACAAACTAATTAAAACGCTACATCTCTTTTCCAGACACTCAACTGTTAAAATGTGCTTGCTGCATTTGCAGATTTATTCGCTCATGAGAAGCAATTCAGGTTTTTTAAAATAGGACTTTTATCCGGACTTGTAGCTTATAATAAGTGTGATGAGATATCTTTGATTACACTGTGTAAGATTTCAGGTTTGGGAGTGTAGTAGCTTGAATTTCTTTTATACTTGAGTCTTTGAGAAGAAAATTAACTGTCAGTGTGGCTGGTTGATGCTTTTTTTATTTAAAGGTTTATTTTGTATTTTTTCTATGCCCTTATTGGGGAGATAGGACAGTGGATAGAGTCAGAAATCAGGGAGAGAGAGAGTGGGGAGCATCATGTAGGAAAGGAGCCGCAGGTCGAATTTGAACCCGGGTGCACGCTTAGAGGACTACAGCCTCTGTTCATGTCTCCAGCTCCCAAGACTTTACATACTGTAAAGTTAGTCTCCTAAAAAACTGATAAAAACAAACATGACTAATCTGCTGAGCTCAGTGATGATTCATGTTTGTGAAATGTTTTATTCTTAGATCATAAACATTAAAAAAAATATAATTTAACTCTTCAGGAGGGCAAGAAAATTACTCTTTTCTCATCTTTGCACAAGCTGTGTTATTGTGTTTCATCTACTTAACATTTATTTAACTTCACATCGGTTTTATGCTTATCCCTAAGAGAGGTGAATATTATCTCTTAACTACATTTAACTGTTTGTTTTTTTGAGAACTCTCCTCAGTCCATGCATTAAAATAAAGATATTGCAGCTGATATACTTTTCCCTGTGTGAGATGTGAAATTAATTTATGTGACATGAAAACTAGACATTTCACAGCATTTAAACCTCTTTGTTTTTGTGCGTTTAATGTGTGTGTCTCCATGTCAGTGGAAAAGTAGCAAAGGAGGTGATAGAAGCCAGCTCTAAGATCCAGAGAGAGCCACCAGAGGTGCGCAGGTAAGACAAATTACAAATCACCTGAACTCATATTATTCAAAATGCTGCTGCTGCTGCTGCTGCTGAGCTGTGGTAGTAAAACATTAAAGTATATAGAACTCTAAAAAATGTAAGATAAATGTATTAATGCAACAAACGGTGAGAGCAGCTGATGTTTGTGTTTCAGAGCCATGTTCGGTCAGAGTCGAAGCTTTAACTCTCTGAGCCATAAAAACCTCATCATGAACATGGAGCCGCTGGTACCTGCACTGCCCTCCACCAACGAGTACGAGGAGCCGGCCACAGACAACGGTAAGATGTTACACACACACACACACACACACACACACACACACACACACACACACACACACACATGCCCTTCTGTCACAGACCCCTGTGAAGTCACATGGCTTCTCCCTTGTGTACCAACGAGCTCATGCACAAGTGTCAGACAGAAAGCGTTAATTGAGCAGCTGATGTTCCCATTCCTCCATCACCTCTGTCTCCCTGGAGACACCAAACGCAGCACACTAAAAATACCCTTCCCATGATCCTCCTTGAGTTTACCACCATGCCTGTGTGTGTGTGTGTGGGTGTGTGTGTCCATGAATTTGTGACATAACGGAAAAAAAAACATGTTATGTTATTGTTAAGGAGAAGTCTATTAGAAGTGTGTTCCTAAGAACACACTTATTTTTTAGCATTACTTATTTATAGCATTTATTTATATTTATTGCATCTCATTAATCCAGCCATCCAGATTTACCTAATAATTCACTTTTTTGTCTACATCTGTAAATTTTGCAATTACTGTACATAGCACAGAATTACTGTACATAGCACAGACTCTTGCACTCAATTACTGTACATAGCACAGATTCTTGCACTTTCTGCTTATTTGCACTTCTGGTGAGATGCCAAACCTCATTTCGTTACTCTATACTTGTATATGTGTAATGACAATAAAGTTGAATCTCATCTCATCTCATCTCAAGTGATTTGTTCGGTTGAATCAGTTCTGTTGAAATCTTTGTTTAATTCAGTCTGCAAACGTTGTTTTGCTTCTGTCTGTATATTCTTTGGATGCATCACAAAAGTGAAAGTAGATCACTTCCAACCTTATCTGTCTCATTTACAAGATGCAAGTGAACCATATATATATACAGTATACAGTCTGCACTTCTCCATTGTGTGTGTTTTTTTTAAGTCTTCATTATTTTACAGCTTTTTCTACAACTTGCTTTGATATTTGCCGTTAAAACCCCTGGGCATGCTTCTCAAATCTTCTATCACAAACAAACATGATGAGAGAAGTTAGTTTACTGAGAAATCTATATCAATATTACAATGATTATCGCGCGAAACAGATAAATATTGTTTCTTTTCACAAACATATTTTTCCCCAAAACTTCCCTTAAAATTGAAAATTGAAAAGTTTCCAGAAACAAAATGTTACAAATTGTACTGAATACACGATTTCTTTTATGAAATACATTTTTGAAATCATAACTTACTGAATATTATCCTCTGTTTATGTCGTATCATATGCTTGCCCGTAGAGTCATTAAAACCTGTTTTATGCATGATGTTTGGAGCGGACTCGACGACTCCTGTTAAGCTACCAACTCTTTTGATTCACTAACTGTAAATAAGAATAATCTCTTTCATGGATATCAGATATATATTGCCTTGTTTTATATAGTCGTTTTTTGCTAAATCATTCATAATTGATATTGGTGCATGTTTCTATAGTGGTGAGGTGTAAATGAGGGTTGGTGCTTATGAAGCCATCCATCAGCTGGCCTGTTGACACCTGTCTCAGAGCTCAGAGCCTCATGGAGTGAGAAGAGTAGTAGATAAAGTTATGTGACCAAGCAGAGCAACCCTGCCAGGGGAACCCAATGAAGCCCTCAGAGTAGTTTGTATTATAAGGTTTTCTTGTAGATCATAACCAAAGACTGTATGGAACATGGACGTAATCTCAGTGACATCTCCCTTTGGTTTCTGAAGAGGCGTTATGAAGCCAGATGAAGGCGGTCATCGTAGTGGAAATGCTGACTCGACTCAACTATTGATGAATTAGAAACAGACGAAGAGTTGGAGCTGGTCTCAAGCCTCCTGACAAACCGCCTCCACCTGTCAGTCAAATCAGCAACACTCCTCATTATGCCTAATTATAAAAAAACTTCTAGACTTTACAAAATCAATATGGACGAGTTATTAAAAACGTCAACCCCCTGTACAGTTTATCCCAATAAAGAAATGAGCTATAAAGATCAGAACTACTTCAATCAGGAGAGACTCAAGTAAGAGTTTACAATCATATATTGAACAGTTTAGAAAAAGATGAATATTCAATGTCTTTGGCGATTAGTCTCCATCATGATGACTTCATGTACTCAGAGGGGTAGTGAGGCCGACAGCAGGATAGGATACCCCCCTATGGAGTCTAGACCCTGGTGGTGGTGGTGATAGAAGAATGCAGGATGTGATGAGGAGTGGGTTTCTGAGGCTGGATCTGAACTCTGCTGAGCTGGAATGGAGCTGACTGGGTTGGAGGAGTGTTGCAGCGATCGCACTGAAATGACAAACTTACTAGGGAAGAGAGGAACAGATTTTATAACTTGGACCGCTGTAGGATGATTGGTTGAGAGAGGTTGTGGCAGAGTCGGGTTGGACTATTACTTAAAGAGTAAACGCCCATTATCAGCTGATCACCAGAGCAGGGAGATGGTGGAGTGGTAGAGAATAAGTGCTAAATTGAATGAAAATAATGAAATTAATGTGTGAGCTCCATTTTGGGGGTTTTACACCCTTAGGGTTCCCCTCCAGGGTTTTCCCATTACTTGAAAGATATTTCCATTCTCTGTTTCTCTGCGTTATTGTTCCTCATGCTCATCAAAGCAGCCTTTTATAAAATATAGGTTGCTAAATTATAAAAAGCGCTCTATATTTGGGAAATGGTGAGAGTGTCCAGTTGAGGGTTTTTGCAGCCCGGGAGAGAAAGAGGCGTTTTGATTGAAATAAGACTTGAGGGTCATGTTTTCACCCTTTGCCTACTGAGACTTAAGTGATAACCTCCACTGTCCATACTACTGACTTATAGCCGTGGTTGTATATTTTTTTTCCACTCTTTCATCCACCTACAACTCTGCTCCACACATGACAGATTTGAAGCCCTTCCTGTCTGTATACCTGACCCCTTCCCTCCATCTTTTACTCCCCCTATCCCTCCTCACCCCCTTCAAATCCTCACACATCGACCTGGTGCAAGCGTTTAAGACCTTCACACATGTACAGTACAATCATGTTGTGGAGCCATCACTCTCCTCACACTGCTGATTTACTTTTCCCTCTAACGCCTCCTCTGACAGAATTTACGGTCATCCCCCCCCCCCTCGCTTTCTCCACCTCTCATCCTCCTCCCTCTGTCTTCCTCTCTGCTCCCCTCATCCCATTAAGAGCAAAATCAATTCTTCTTGGCTCAGGGTCAAAGAGCTGCAGCATTAAGCATCTCGTCTGTCTCGGTCGGTTAGTTTGGGAGGGGCAGGAGGTGCTCATCAAATCAAGGGCCTCATGCACCACTGACAGGATACAGGCTGAGTAATGACAGCCTGTTTCCTCCTGCAGCTCCGGACTCTGTGTGTGGACCGTTGACTGGATACTCAATGAAAAGAAGACATTTTATTTGGTAATTATTCTAAAAACCTTTCAATGGAATAACCCTGACATGGAAGATAATAAGTTACCTTTTGTTCTTCTGGTCGCTTTCACACAGACACACAACTCCTGAACATTTCCAAAAATGTCCTGGATGAGCTGCATGTGTGAACACAAACCAAACAGACCCTCATCCCTAGTGAAATATGTGTGAATGCAGCAGGTAATATTCAAAAGTGGAAAAGGGAGATGATATTTACAGTATATCCTGTGTCCACTGCATGACCGGTCTGATTTTCATGCACATAATGAAGCTGCTTCAGACTCTTTTCTGATGGTCAGTTTGATACTGTGAATACGTCTAATTACACAAAGTATTAATATAAAGGCAGAGACCGTCATCCTGTCAGACTCTGTTGCTAACTCTACCGTCATAAATTCATATTTTCTGAACATTAGAGTGGGACTTCCTCAGTGTCCTTTTCACATCGTGCCCTTTCTCCAGAGCCCCCGCACCTTGCTGTGAGAGATATACGAGTGGGCAACTTTGCAATATTTTTGGGGCGGGCTATCCTGAAATTTGGGGGAAATTGTAAGATGGGCATGTGTGGAAAATCTTAAGCTATGATTTTGGAAAGTTCTAGAAATGTATCCTCTCCACTCTCTGGGAGGGATTTAAAACAGGCCAGCTGTCTGGAGAAGGAAGTATAAGCAGTTCCTTTTAAAGTATATTAATCGTCAAATTAATGCCTGTATCATTTTATGTTTGTACAACCAAGTCCCCACGAGTGCCTCGACTGAAATCCGTCCCCATTTGAATCATTTAGTATCTAATCTGTTCGATGACAGGTCGTCCAGCTCATTTAAACAGTTGTTTGGTAACTGTTTTAAGACGGCTGCTGCGAGGACTCTGGGATAAAGTGTCCTCGAGATGCTCCAGGATCCCCCGTCTAAATTCAGAGCACTAATCTGAGCCCTAAGAGGGGAAACAGGAAGCTGACCCAAGGTCAGTGATGACCTTGTTCTGTTTGCACAGCCTGTCCCCCTCTTATCTCCCCAAATCCCCCCTAAACACACACACACACACACACACACACACACACACACACACACACACACACACAGGGAATGCTTGGTTAAGGCTGTTGCTCATGGGTGTTTTATGGGCTTTAGACTTCATATTCGTGTATCACATTAGAGGCGTGATGCACTCTCCTGCCAAAACTCATCAAAACAAATGAGACCCTGTAACACGTCTTCTCTTTCTCCTCAAGCCAGCTGCGATTCGCTTCTATTCATATTCCTGCTAGAGTTTGTCGCTTCACTGCCCACACTTCACTGAATCAAAAATATATTTCATTTCAATGTCCCTCTCAGTCAGTGTGGTAGAGAAGTAGCTCTGCTGCAGAGAGAATCAGAGATACATGTGTCTGATAAGAGGAAAAGAAAGTGATCCTCATCCCGTCCAGGGTCAGGCCTGCCCCTCTGTAATCAGAGTTAGATTAGTTGCCCCTCTGCAGCCAGGACCACCGGGTTATTTATAGAGGGTGCAGCTTTGGGCCTGATCCTCCTCTAATGCCCCCTCTGCTCTTTGTTAGCATCGCTGACATTCACAGGAGCGCCCGCCATGTCTCTGCATCAGAGAGAGA